AAGAATATTTGTGCATCTCAAAACTGGCCACAGTCCAAATGCCCACTGCAGCAGAATAAATCAGTTCTTCATGTATTCATATAATGATCTTCTAAACATCTGTGAAAAAGGCTCACTTTGCAGCTAACAGAACACACCACTTTGCACCTACTATTGTTTGAAAGCAAGGACTATATCCCATAGAGCTGCATTTATGCAGAATTCAATGGCCTTTACGGGGGCGAGATGTAATGACTGAGGAAACTGTGGGGTTTCATGGTTTCACATTGGCGGTAGACATTCAGAAACTCAACATGGTTAAGATAATGAGGGGTTCACTTACGATTTTTCTTATGTCTGTATTTTAACATTCAAGATCTCATTAAAAGGTGGCCATTTAAGACCTCCACTTAGCATGGCAGTGTTATGAGAAGAGGGAGCATCTAAAAATCATCTCATTCCTTAGCAACAAGTGTTGCCTTAGCATCCAAAGATACCTTTCTAGATGCATAAATGAACTCTTCAGAAAGGGCAGGATCCCAGGGTACACACAGAGTAACATCCTGGTTTTCCTACCCTGGCAAGTTTCAACGCCTCCAGTTAACATGTAATTTAGAGATATCTTGATATAAAGGGTAGAAGCCTTAGAGAGCTACATCCTATATGTAAAGTTGCCTAAAATAAAGAAAAAAATCTCACTCTTATTTTAAGTAAATCAGAAAAAGGATGTCCAGGGATTGGCCTGTCTAAGAAGCAACAGAATAAAGAAGCCTTTCCTAGAAGTATGGGGCCATAGGATTCTTTTCAGTTAGAGAGGAATCTCACTTCTATTTCCTGCTATACCAGTGTCCCCACCAGACCAGCATCCAGAAAGAGCCACCAAGAGTCATCTTCACTGATTCACTATCACAAGAATACAGTGATGAGCTGAGAAGCTGGGAGCAGAATTTCCTATCTTAGCATTTTCTTCTGCTATTCTATCAGATTTCGTCTTGGGGGGCACCAATACTTCCTCAAGAAGGGACAAAACATTCCCAGGTTAGGTCTTTTGAGCTGACATTTAACCTACAGACTCTTAATAAACATTTATATAATTCGTCTCTCAACAGAGACATCATGGTGAAAGTAACAGGGATCTAACCACCACATGAATCTCAGCTCCTGTTTTACATTGTCTGTTCCTATAATACAATCTCAATATCCTTTTTGTTTACAAAAATCAAGAAAAAGCAACCAAGTATGAAAGGAATGTGATGAAATTTCAGGTGTGGCAAAACATGGGGCAATAGGAGTCAGTTATGGAGGGCATCTTAGATTTTCCTTTCTGGAGCAGAAATCACCATGAGTCTATAAGTGTCAGAGGCAAAATGATATGATGTAGGAGGAAATCCTTCTCTTGTTCTGGGAGGAAGCTCCAGAGAACCTGCAGCAGCTAGATGTGCAGAATTTCCTATCTTAGCATTTTCTTCTGCTATTCTATCAGATTTTGTCTTGGGGGAGGCACCAATAGCTAGCTAACCTGCCATTGCTCTGAGAAGAGGCTAGTCAGGTCTGGGCTGCTTTGAGGTACACTGGACCACTTCAGAGTCACACCCAAGTGTGTCACCTCCACCTGTCTCAGATAAATGCTATGACATGCTAGACTCACTGCTCTGTGGACTTCAGCTTCTGAAAGCTTGAGATTTACAGCATCCCCCAAACAACTGGGGTGTGTGGCCTCATTCTACATAGACAAGATCAAATGCTCAGTTTTTCCACCTTCAGCAAGTACTTTTCACACCTTGTAATGACTAAAACTTAGTTAAGTGCATCACAAAATAAGCACACAATGGTCCAGAGATACCACAGGAAGCATCATCATGCCTTTCCCAGCAGCTTCTTAGCAGCCCTCACTAAGCCATTAGTCACCTATAGTTTCTCTAGGTTAATAGTGAGCAGAAAACACAAATGCAGGAAGACTGAGTGAGCTGCATTTCACTAACATGGTTATTAGTTTCAGTGAGAGAAACCCACATAACCTAGACTTATAAACAAAAGAGTCCTGTACTGTCACCTCTTTTCAGGCTCAGGCTTTGTGTTCCCACCCCTCACCTGAGGCTCAAAATAGTGAGTGCTGTAGTATTTTCTGGTGTCTATAATTAATTAGCCTTTGATATAGACACACCACCTCCTAGGTCAGGTCTCTCCCCTCTTTTGGGCACATATGGAAAGCCCAGTGTCCACACCACTGCCCTGGGTGACTTCTGGAGGAGTAGTCTTCTTAAATGTTCTCAGGCCATTCCCTAGTTGGAGAGCACAGCCTTCCCAGCTTGAAGACCTACTGCCCCTCAGCCCCTGTATGGTCTTCTTCCCCTGGGCTCCCACAGCACTTAAGGGTAGGGCCTGTCTCACTGGCACTTAACTCTCACCTGCTGTTTCCAACACCTGATATGGTCAGATCTTATCTGCCAGGGTAAACTGTCTGCTCCTAGAAAGAAGAAACTAGATTCCTATCTTCCCCTGCATAATTGTCCCAGGGCCTGGCCTGGCTGCTTTATGCCATGGACTCAGAGCACAACTGCATTTGTTCCTATAAAGTTAAGAACAGAAAGATAAAAGGGGAGTGAAAAAGAGGGGAAGGATAGCTTTTGTAAAGACCCTGTGTAAAGACCTCTGCGCTCCTTTCAGTTATCTGTACCTTGAAAGGGGAGATTCTGATGGAAAAGAAAGCACCAAGATACGGCTTTCTCTCATCCTTGGAGAGGCACTCCAGCAGAGTGCTTCTGGTCACCTGCATTTTGTCCTCTCCAACAGGGAGGGATTTGTCTCTAGTTCACATTCCTTCCTTTCCCCTATATGCTCTGTTGAGGTAACTGAGAGCTAAGTCATTCCTAAGTCAAGTCTATGCTGCTACTGGCTGAACATACCTTCCAAAATTCCTGTTGTAACATTCATTTGCATTAAGAAATGGAACCTTGGAGAGAGAAATTAGAAAGGTAAAGTTGCCCTCATGGGTGGAGTTGGGACACCTTCTAGGCCTATATGAGGTGAGTCTGCTCCTTTTTACCTGGCCTTACTCTGTGATTCCTGAACTCTGTTCTCCCTGAGAGGCTGCAATAAGAAGGTACCGCTCTGGAAGCTGGGCATCAGACTCTCTCCAGACACTGAATTTTCTGGAGCCTTGCTGTTATACTTCATATTTTTCAGAGAAGTGGGAAATGAATATCTGTTTTTTTTTTCAAATTCCTGAGATTCAGATATCATGTTCTAGCAAATGGCAACAATGTTAGAAGCCACTTGGCCAGATCTGTTCTAGTAGGATCCAGCCCTAAAGCAGATCTTTCGGGATTTGTCCAGAGTCACTGCTGACAACTGCCAATTTTTGAGGCATATTGAAGCCACTCAGGGAGCTTTTAAAAAACATTGTCCTCAGATTCCACCCATGCCAGCAAAAAAGCAACATGTGCTAGGGAGCCCTGGGCACCAGGGCTTCCAAGCATTTACTGGCCGATTGCAATGACAAGCAGCAGGCCAGCAGACCCTTTAACAACCGATCCAAACCTTCATCCTGCAGTGCTAATGTCAGAACATGAAAACACTTTTACTCAATTTTGAAAGAAACAATGCCTGTAGAAGGAAACCGACAGTGTGTGGATTACAGGCTTTACCATCACCATCTTTTTCTTTCCCCCGTAACCTTTTAAGGCCCCCTGACATCACTACCTAAAGGTCAACAATATTCTAGACATGAGACGTTTCCCTCCTAGGAAGTAAAGGAGCCTCCAGCAGTTCTCAGCCTTGACTGTTCAGCATAATCACCAGGCATATTTAGAAACGCTGACACAGAGCCCTAAACTCTGAGGCTGGTTCAGTTTGTGCAGAGATGTGGTTCTTGATATGACGGCTTCTGCTCACATGGGCACTCTTTGGAAAGGCAAGTTCCCTGGCTCATTTCAGGCTTGATGGATGATAGGTAGGTGAGTCAGGGGGTAGAGTAGCAGTGCACCCCTGTGCTGTGATAAGCCACAGTGCAGGCAGTGATCTTGCTGCAGGTTGAGAGCCACTGGCTCAGGACAAGCACAGATATTCAGCAACTTCTCTATGTACTTCCAGAAAGCTCCAGAAGAGAGTCCAAGGTTAAAGATTTTGAACTACACTTCTCTGTCTATTAGTGCCATCTTAGCTCTCCCAATGCCAGTCTACCATGACAAGCAAAGGGCATTCTTTGAACTGGGCACAAGAAATCTTGCATTGTGTTGAAAAATAATGCATTTATTGTGTCCATCATTCTAACATATCTGAATTAAATCAACAGTGAAAAGCATGCACTGCTAAGACAAGTATCAATGGAGTATCCCACATTGCCTACCCCACCCCCACTCAACCAGTCAACTTTCTTCCAAAATGAAACATCCAATTAACCATGACCTCACAGCCAAATAGAAACATCGTTGGCACTTGCTAGGAAAACGATATAAATACGATGTGTTTTCTTTTTCAAATGAGCATTTTGGTCAAAATTCCAAGCTTCAATTGCAGTCCCTATCGTGTCCTTGAAAAAGAACTTAGCAGTTTAAAAGGCTCAAGGTTTTTATTGATTCGGCAATGACATTTTAGAAAGCCAGCTTTCACAGTCTCAAAATGTAAGACTGTGGCAAGACAGGCAATAAATGACATCTGTACAAGAACATCGATTGATTCATCCTTAACATGAAAGAAGTTACTATGGATGGAGGCTTCAAAGGGTGGTAAACAGGCTGCCCATTCTCTGCTGTACCACACTTGGCTGGCCCCAGGGTAGAGAAGTCTCAGTTATCTCCTGTTGAGCTCCAAAAATGCTTCATGAGAAAGGAAGTGATCATGAGATCATGAGACAGGGAGCGATCGTATGGGTCCCTTTATGTCTGACAGCCTTTAGGATGAGTTATACATATGCCTAAAGATCTGCCAGTAGCCATAGACAAGAGGAGCTGTTGGGATTGCAAGCATGTACTGGTCTTCAGGGCTGCTCTGGGGACCCAATTTGTCTACTGAGAATTTACCTCGAGGACAGTAGATGTCAGGAGCCCATCGGTTGCATTCATAATTGTCTGCTGCCTTTTCACAGGTAAAACATTTAAATCCACCAGGATATGGGGTGGCTGAAAAAAAAAACCAAGAGAAAAAAACAGTATCAGACTGAGCAAAGAATCCTGCAAAATAGTTAAGTATATTAATTTTTAAAATGGTTCTCAAGGAATCTTGGAGGTGAAAGGAAAATTAAAGTGAAGTGTCTGATGACTCAGCATTTTATGACAGGCAATTTAATTCCGAGACACAGTCACTTGTATTCACATGCAAAAATCTGCATTCGGATATCTAGTTGGTTTCATTTGAACAGGCTGCCCACTCCTCATCTGAAAATATGAAATCTAAAATGCTTCCAACTTTGAAACTTTTGAGCACTAACATTATACTGCCCAAATTCCACACCTGACTTCACATGACCAGTATTAAAAGGACTGGATACAATTCTTCCAGGCTATTTACAAGGCATAAAACTAATAAATGTGGCCTTTAGACTTTAGGCTCATCCCAAAACATTTCACTACATACATACAGATACTCCAAAATCCAAAAATCATTTGACACATGAAATACCTCTAGTCCCATGCACTTCAACCTACAATGACTCCAAGCTGGAAGGAACTCAAATGTCTGTCAATAGGTGAATGGGTTAAACAAACGGTGGGACATCCATACTATGGAATACTAGGCACCAATAAAAAGGAGCAGATAGTATTTTCAACAACTTTAATAAACTCCCTTGGGGTTACTCTTTAGTGAAAAAAAAAAAAAGCCAGTCAGAAAGGCCATATGGTTATATTCATATTACTATCTTATTTTTACATCTATGTATTTATGTATGCATTTATATGTTATATATGTGTGTATATATGTATTTTGTGTGTGTGGAGTGTGTGTGGGTGTGGGTGTGGGTGTGGGTGTGGGTGTGGGTGTGGGTGTGGGTGTGGGTGTGCGCACCCGGGTACCACAGTGTTCATATGGAAACAGAGGACAACTTGCAGAAATTGGTTCTCTCCTCCCACCAAAGTGGCTTCCTGGGGATAAAACATATGTGGTAAGGCTTGGTGGCAGATCCACTTTGTCCACCCACAGACCACTTGGGTCCATTTATAAACCACTTCTGACATGAAAGAATTTGGAACACACTGAGTGGTTACCAGGTGTTATAGGTGCCAATGTGTGGTGTGGATACTGTTTAGAGAGGAAGTGTGATTCACACAATTCCAGCAACACTCTAATCTTCCCCATCCTTTCTCCATGCCTGGGTTGTGCTTCTTGCCTTCTGAAGAGATTGTCCTCCAAGTATCACTTGTTCTCTGTCCTGCTTGTAAGCTGAGGTTGGGGTGTCACCTGAGAACCAAGCTCTGGTGGTACTCACTACACCAGGTATTCTGTCAATACAAGGCAGAGGGTCAACAAGCAATGTCAGCCCCTCCCTCTTGGGGGAAGGGTCTTCTGGGTCCCTGTCTTTTGGCTCTTGTGCTTTCCACTGCCTCTTACCTGGAATCCTCTGCTGGCATTGTGATTTAGATCTCTGCCTTTTCTAAACAAATCCTGAGCATTTTTTAAATTTTTGTAACACTACCTGGCCTAGTTGAAAGCTGCAGACACTTAAACAGTTCATCTGCTGGAGCCAACAGCTTTCTCTTGCAGATGGATGAGCCGGAGGATCTCACTGGCGGAAATAATCATCTCACAGTAAATTGCATGGCCCACATGGAACCAATTAGGTATGCTATCAAAAAGAAATGAAGGAGGAGGCAGCAGCTTAAGGCCAGAATTATGGTCCAGATAAAGCTTTGATTTTTCTCCTTGCCCAGAATACCTGCCCATTCACATACTTGCCTGAAATATTTCAGAGAATGGACTGTGATGATGGTACCTGGACATGGTTGGAAGCTGTGGACTGCCTACAAAGGATGAGTCAGTACACCTTTCCACGGGCCCACATAAGAGTCCCATGTTTCTCCTACTAGCTGGTAATTCAAATTTGCAAATAGGTTAAAAATAAGGGTATGGGTTATCTCCTAAAATGATGGAAAAAGCCTAGAGACACCCACTTAGTCCCAGGAAGGAAATGCACCACAGGAAAATATTTTCCTGTCACATTACAGAAGGTGAAGGAAATATTCTTGTGAAGCATACACAGTAATTAATATACCCCCCTTTTGGCACCTAGAAAAGTCTTTCATATTTTAATTGAATGAATCTGTGTTGGAATTAAAAACAAACAAACAAAATAAGAGTCTCAAAGTCTAAAGCCCCTCGATGTTACATAAACTTGAACATTTTAATAGATTTTTATTTTCCAAATATCACTATGAGAAAAGTCATATAACCATTCTAGGAAACTATGCTGGCTTGTTACATTAAAAACAGCCCCACTCTTAACCTTCAAATATTTAACATATGAATCACTTTAAGAGGTAAAAATTTAAAATAGCTTGTAAAATGTCAAGTAGAATAATGCAATCAGAGCTTTGAAAAAAACAAATACAAAAGTTTTGCCCAAACCAGCATTTTTCAAACAACGTTCTTCATAGTCACTGAGGTTTGTGATTGCAAGCTAGCTGCACCACTTCACTCCACACATTTAATTCCCTGGAATATCCAATTTTATCTGTCTGTCTCTGTAGCCAAAACAATTTTTGGCTCGCTTGTTGGGTTAGTTATTCCTGGAAACTTTCCCATCAAAGAGGTAAGAAAAAAAAAAAAAAAACCTTTGAATAATGACCACTCAACTGCTCCAAGAAGAAAGTTACTAAGAATCAAACACTAATAAGTTGTGGTATTCCCAAATTTGGATTATTTAATCAATGTTTCAAAATGCTCTTTTACACCACTGATGACAGATTATATTAAATATTGTCACTTCTCACATAACTAAAGCCTTCCTCTGAAATTAAGGCAAGGACACTGTAATTTGAAGAGAAGTATGAGCTAGAACAGTATGTAGCGAAATTAATCTTTACTTCAAGCCATTTATACCCAAATGATCTTACCAGCATATGTTACTGGCAATTGACCAAACGCTCTCCATTTTGGTCAGTCTTTTTTTTGAATTATTTATTTTATTTACAAAATTTTATGTGTATGAGTATTTTGAATGCATGTATGGTTGTGTACTGCTTGAAAGCCTAGTATCTGAGGAGGCCAGCAACGGGTGTCACAACTCCTGAAACTGGAGTTACACATGGTTCTGACATGCTATGTGGATGCTAGGAACTGAACCTGGGTACTGTGAGAAAACAGCCAATGTTATGAACCACTGTGCCGTCTCTTCAGCCCCTGGTTGGTCTTATTTTAAAACCTATAAATCCATGTCTGTTTGCATTTTCAAGCTCTGTAGCTTAACATTTGTTTACAAGACTGCTTGTTGATATTTTATCTGGGGATCAATGAATAGCACTGATTCCTGACAAGCTTTTACAAGCATTTTCATTTTTAATTGACTACAGTATGATACCATACAAATGGTTAAATTATTCCCTCTGGCAATATTTAACCTGAATATGGTCAGCCAGCAGATGAGCACCTATCTCCAGTAACTTGTTAATTGATACTACATCTGATAAAGAGTTTATTTCTCTTTTAAAAGACAGGGAAAGAGGTTCCTAAGATGTGCTATTTTCTTCTTTATTACTTCAAAGCCTTCCAGAGCCAGCAGACTTCAGATCCTGGTGGCCCCAGCTGTGAATGAATCTAATTTGGCTCTTGATCACAGAGCTAATAAGCTTAGTACACTGCATTTCAGGGCATAAGGCCCTGGTCCCTCAAGAGAGGGTGATTGTAAAGAAAAAAGAAACAGTGGAGTGCCCAGTTACTTCCTGTAAGATAATCTGTCCATTAACTCTCATGGTCAGCCATAGTTCAAGTTTCCATAATTCATTTGTAAGGCATCCGGAAAGATTTAGCCTCCCTCCCTCCCCCGCGGGCCTCCCCCTTCCCCCTTGGAACTTTTGCCTGGACAAAGACCTTCAGTACTGGAAATGTGGTGAAAGCAGATGCTTCAAAATGTATGCTGATGTGCAATGTGTCTGCTCTAGTCAAATTAGTTTCTACTGGTTTTAGAAAATGGATAGAAATATAAAGATTCTAAAATCTAATATTATGTGTCCTGGTCCACTAAAATCTTGCTGCTATAATTTTGACATGAGCAAATTTCTAATAGAAGACACTTCCTGATACCTGTCTTGCAGTCCTCTTACTCCGTAAGATGTAACAAACTGTAGGACTGTGCATAAACTTCCTTGTTTCCCTATGTGGGCTATAAGCAAGCCCCTGCAAGGACATAGCTCTTTGATGCAGATGATTAAGAAGGGCTCAGAACACGCATGCAAAGGAAAATTGGATTGTTTTCCAAGAGTGCTTTCTATTCTACAGAAAGAAGCAGAGGCCAAGAACAGGGCATGGTCATTTTATTAAAATCTCTTGTGTGATATTTGACCGAATAAATAGCTCCATTTCTCTTAATATTAACTCTTGTTGGGGAGACTGTAATTAGATTTGGGTGATTTAACCCGAGAATGGAAAGAAAACCCAGCAGTTCTCACATTAAAATAAAAGAAAGAAGACGAGGATGAAAGGTATATACAAATTATTGGATAGAATGTTCTGGAGGAAGAGCTCGAAATCCATAAATTTTGTTTCTTATAATGTTTGAAAACTTCAAAGATTTGGAAAGCAGAAAGCAAAGGAGATTAGTGAGGGGAGGCTGAATTTTCTCAGCCCAGTTACCATCAATGACAGCTGTCTGGCCCTAAGAACAGTGAGTTTTTTTGGCATAGAAAACTTGTGTGTTCTCAAGCTTTCTGCCCACCACCCTCCATGTATTCTTCCATGGACAGATGCTGTGCTCTGCCATATAACATTAATAGAATCCACTCTCTCACTGACCCAGAGAAAGCTGCTGATATCTCTACCTACAAAGTGAGGCAATTGTATAAATAATTCAAAATCAAACTAATCCCCTGTTCCCCTCATGTATTTTTTATAGCCAATGCTCGACAGCAACTTTCTTGTTGGTAGAGCGATCACTCCATCTAAGCATGAGCGAGGACTCAAGGGCAGAGAACCATAGCTGTTTAAAAATCCAAAGTGCAAACAAACACACTCAAAACATTTCTGAAGTAGTTTGGAGAAATGTGAAGTTAACTCTGAGGCAACATGGGCAAAACAGTTTCAAGTTCTACAGTCCAACAAGAATTCTCACTGCTTGCAACCTGTGAGGAGACCTGCTGGTGAGGGATCCAGAGCTACAGCTCACAAGCTAGGTAGAAACAACTTCTTCAACCATTTTCACCCTTCAGAATCATCTTAGGAAAGCCCATGATTCCTATTTAGTTAACACAGTCACATGACTGAAACTGCCTATTACATTACTGTACTTTATTTGGGACAAGGTATTGCTTTGTAGCCCACACTGGCCTGGAATTCACTATGTAGCTCAAGCAGCCCTCAAACTCTCCTACCTCAGCCTCCTGAGTGCAGGGATTACTGTTGTATGTCATCCTACCTAGCTTCCCTAAAGAGCAGGAGTGATTTCCCCTGCAGACAGTCAAAGTTCATCCTTCGAAGACAACACTAAAAAGGGACTCCTCACCCCAGGCACTCATTAGCTACCCCACACAGGAAAAAGTACTGTATTTTGTCCTGGTTTACATACACTCATTCACTTTGATTTTCAATTCCTACCTACTATGTAGCTTTAGAAGAGGCCATAGATGTACTATTTTTATGGTCTGAGTCTCTCACTAAAGCTGACAGAGAAAGTCAAAGAAGCCATCACTTTTGACATTCATTCCTGAGGGGGTGAAACCTGCGTCTTTGACTTGCCAAGTCTGGCTGTTTGGGGCAAAGGACAAAATGCAGTCTTGTCCTTAATTAAGCAGTCAGATAAAATTCCTATACAAGTAATCAGTATGCAGACTCTGCCAGTGAGGGCACAGGTGCAAGAAACAGTCTGCCAGTGAGAGCACAGGTGCAATAGACAGTCTGCCAGTGAGGGCACAGGTGCAGTGGACAGTCTGACAGTGAGGGCACAGGTGCAAAAGACAGTCTGCCAGTGAGGGCACAGGTGCAATAGACAGTCTGCCAGTGAGGGCACAGGTGCAACAGACAGTCTGCCAGTGAGGGCACAGGTGCAGTAGACAGTCTGCCAGTGAGGGCAAGGTGCAAAATCCACAGCTGGCTGACTAAATGACGACAACAGCAGAAAACTACTCCCCTGTCTATTGGGTACAGGTCTCTGGTACAGAGTTTTTTCTGTCTCTAAAATGATGCTATGGTGTATGTGTAATTTTACCAGGTTGGAAATAAACCTGCATTGCCTGAGAACATACTACAGCTCATGCTCAGTGCTAAGTTCACTATGCATTATGCTATGTAATGGTCACAAAGTCAGGGATTTATTTCAAGTCATGGGGGGGGTGCAGGGAACAGCTGTCCTAGTTGCAGACAGCCAAGTTCAGTTGTACTCCCGGCCCCTGGGTGTCCCACATGCCATTTCCCAGGCTATAGGAATTAAATATTCAAGGACTGTGGGATGAGGAAGTCCAAGTAGGTGCCTCCTCTTTGCACATTGTGTGATCTTCAAAAGAAAGGGCCCCATTTTAATTGCCTATGTGCCTTTCACCCCATCACAATGCTTGTCATGCAGCAGATGCATAAAACGAACAATATACTTTGGGGCAAAAGCTGAAGTGCAGGATACATACCACAAGGACAATACCCGAAGAGAAGTGGGAAAAAACCCCAAAGAGAACATAGGTACAGCAATGGGGACCAAAGGAGGAAATGGCAATACTGTTTACCAACGTGTAGTCTCAAGGTATCTATAGCAGAGGGACCCAAAATTGTTGCTGAAAATATGAAGCACAAGGAAGAACCCTGATATATGCAAACAGAAAGTGGAGGGCAGGGATCTAGTGCCAGTGACCTGCACTACTGTGGCTCCCTGGAGAATTCTGAGCCATGGGAAATCCAGAAGCCCAGGGAATAGGAAGTTGTGGGAAGAAGACGTTTTAACTGAGGCAAGATGCCCTAACCCTAACCCTAACCCCTAACCCTAACCCTAACCCTGAATCTCTTCACAACAACCTGCCTCCTGGGATGGGCCCAGTTCCCTTTGACCTCCTGGAACAGGCCAGTTCTCTTCCATATCTGGCTGAGAACCAATAGAGTAAAAAGGTAAACAGAGTCAAAGCGATGTGTAGGGAACAGAGAAAACAAATCTCATCATTTAACCCAAGATACAAAACAAACATCCTATGAAAAGGAGGGGGTAAAATGCAAGACAACTTTTATTAACTTCTGCATCCCTGCCTTAATCACCCATTCTCCCCTGTGTTAAGATAAGGCTGCTTTCCAGGTACATGCTTCAATTCTTTTCTAGCCAGAAATGAAGCCTTTTTTTTTGTTCAGACAAGAGAGCAAATAGAAAATAGTCTTACTTGAAGGGTGGAGGTAGATTATGTCTTTCACTGTGAAGTCTCTGGATTGAGCAGCTTTCAGACAGTCGGCCAGCAGGCTCAGCAGCAGGAGCCAGGCCAGGGCAGGGCTAGGTTCCATGGCAGACCGGTGTGTCACTCATACAGAGGGCCTCAAAGTGGGCACTTGAGGCGATGTTAGAGGACCTCCACCTGAAACAGGAACACAGACTCATCTTAGTATCCAACAGGAGACAGAGCAGGCAGCCTAGCTGATGTTGGTTAAATGAGTTGAGCTGGGGAGGGATGGCACGCTGGGCCCAGGGAAACAGGTGCCAAGGGGGTGAACCTTATAAATGGTAATTTTAGAGCACTTAGAACATTCCAGCCTGAATCTATTCTTAATCAGGCTGCTCCTACTGGTAGCAATCCTTCCTAATATCCAGCAGAGATGGTATCAAGAAAGATTGAATTTTAATGAAATCCAGCTATTTTTGCCAGAAGGCCAGGGGACATGTGCCAGAGAGCAACAAAATAAGGCAGGTGCAAAGCTCAGAAACTTTTCTTCGATAAAGGTGTAGAAGACCAGGAACCAAACAGCATCCTTTCTGAGTCTAGCCACCATACTTAACTGTAGGAGGTAAACTCCAGTTTGGAAAAGAAATATAGGTAAGCTGACATCTTCCAAACCTAAAACCATCTCAATACAATGAAATCTCCCAAACAAAACCTACATTTATTGGTGAAGACTGTTGAAGGCGTTTGCAAAACAAAGATAAAAGAAAAAAGAAAAAAGAAAAAGCAGTTTATTCTAATAGCCCTATGAGGTTGCCACTCCAATTACCCCTTTTGGAGGGAACAAGTCAAGCACGTAAGGATGGGACTGGCTTCTCACAGTGCAGCTTTCCACTCTGCATTTCAAACACCAGCAGATGTTGTGTTCCACCTAAAACCAGATGATTATGGGATTGAGTTGCTACTTTGAATTAAGCCGTCCTCTACTGCCCTTTCTTCTGATTCTTGTTCACTCAAAATGAAGAACAGTAAAGCCCTGTGTAGACTGCTCAGCTCACTCAGAATGCAGGGAAAGTTTCCTCTATAAACAACTCTCTCACTATATCCTTAGTTTCCTAAAGAGTCAGGGTCTCACATTCGGCTTTTCTAAATTCCATAGTCTCTCTTGCTCATTAAAGGGAGTCAAAGTTAGGTAATTACTTATTTCAACCTAATTAAAAACCTGCAACTTGGACACTGCCTATAGATTTTATATAAGTATTCAAAAAGATTTTGTAAACAGCTTAATTTTTTTACATTCCCATGTGGAAAAAAACCCTAAATAATGACCAAAATATTATGAATCAGAACAGAGAAAAGGCAATATGACCTATTAAGATATTAGGATATACAATAAAGTGGTATTATACCAAACTGGATGACAAAAAGTACACCCACAGCCCAAGTCTTCATAGGATATAAGCACATTTTCAAAATGACAAACAGGACACTATCAGTGAGCAGCACTATATTATAGTGAACAAGATATGGAAAACATTAATGGAGCTCAATATGCTAAAATTATTTACAGATGTTTTGATGTTCTTTTTTTGTTTGCTTTTTAGAGACAGGGTTTCTCTGTGTATCCCTAGCTGTACTAGAATTAGCTCTGTAGATCAGGCTAGTCTGAAACTCAGAGATCTACCTGCCTCTGCCTCCTGAATGCTGGGATTAAAGGTGTGCTTCACCACACCCAGGTAAGGTCACTTTTTTAAGTTGGCAATGTGTTTGGAAAGCAAAGTTCCCTCTGATGCCTGATGATGCAACCATGTCAAGCTGGGCAGGGCTCACCAGCAGTTCGTACTTTGCTTCCTGAAGCAGATTTGTATTCAGGATGAGAACAGGCTGCTAGGCCATCTGATAAATATGACTGGTGAACACTGGAGGAACACTTAGCTGAACAATGTGACCAGAAATGACATAAGTGTCAGTGGTGGACTTCCCTGACTTGAGGTAGCAGTCCAGCTTTACCATAGTGGAGGCCACAATGCTCCCTCTCTAGACAATTAGGTCAGAATGGCTAAAATAAAAAAAAACACCAATGACAGTTTATGTTGGAGAGGATGTGGAAAAAGGTGAACACTCCTCCACTGCTGGTGGGAGTGCCAACTTGTACAGTCACTTTGGAAATCAGTATGGCGACTCCTCAGGAAAACAGGAATCAGTCTACCACAAGATCCAGCAATTCCACTCTTAGGCATATACCCAAAAGAAGCACATTCCTACAACAAGGACATCTGTTCAACTATGTTCATCACAGCATTATTTGTAATAGCCAAAACCTGGAAACCACCTAGATGCCCCTCAACTGAAAAATGGATAGAGAAAATGTGGTACATTTACACAATGGAGTACTACTTAGTGGGAAAAAAATGGAATCTTGAAATTTGTAGGCTAATGGTTGGAACTAGAAGAAGCCATTCTGAGCAAGGTAGCCTAGTCACAAAAAGACAAACATGGTATGTACTCACTCACATATGAATTTTAGACATAGAGCAAAGGATTACCAGCCTACTTTCCACACTGCCAGAGAAGCTAGTAAACAAGGAGGACCCCAAGAGAGACATACATGGTCACCTAGAGAAGGGGAAAGGGACAAGATCTCCTGAGCAAATTGGGAGCATGGGGGGAGGGGAGAGGGAACTAGGAGAAGGGGAGAAAAGGTTGAGGGGGGGGAAGAATAGAAGAAAACAAGAAAGGAGATACCATAGTAGAGGGAGACATTTTAGGTTTACAGAGAAATCAGGCACTAGGGAAATGTCTGGAGATCTATAAAGATGACAGCAGCTAACAATCTAAGCAGCAGAGGAGAGGCTACCTTAAATGCCCTCTTCTGATAATGAGATTGATAACTGTCTTATATGCCATCCTATAGCCTTCATCCAGCAGCTGGTGGAAGTAGAAGCAGACATCCACAAATAACAACTGAACTGAACTGGAATCCAGTACAGAGAAGAACAAGTGATGACAAAAGGGGTCCAGACCAGGCTGGTGAAACCCACAGAAACAGCTGACCTGAACAACAGGGAGCTCTTGGTCCCCAGACTGATAGCTGGGATACCAGCGTAAGACTGATCCAGACCCCAGGAATGTGTTTTTCAGTGAGGAGACCTGGAAAATCTACAGGATCTTCAGTAATAGTTCAAATACTTATCCCTAGCATAGGAATGGACTTTGGGAGCCCATCCCACATGGAGAGATACTCCCTGAGCCTAGACACAAGGGGTTTGGCCTAGGCTCTATGCCAAAGAATATGACAGATTTTGAAGACTCCCTAAGGAATGCCTCACCCTCCCTGGGGAGCAGAAAGAGTATGGGATAGGTAGGGTGTTAGTTGGGCGGGGAGAGGGACCTGGGATTGACATGTAAAATAATCTTCTTTCTAATTAAAATGAAAAAAATAAATAAAAATCCGTTGTTTTAAGCCACTAAATTTGTAGCAATTATAGCAGCTATAGGAACATAAGACAACTAATTTAAAAATAATTTTATACCACAACATTCCCCACAGAAATAAGCACAAAACTACATTTGTGATTGTCAAATTTTTTTTAAAATTTTCTTTCTTGATTTTTGAGCGACTATCACAGAAATATCATGGTGGACCATATAAGACTGTCATGTTTAGAATTAAAAACATGGTCACATTGTAACAACTTAATATGGCTTAATCAACAGCTTAAGTTGACTGATGTGACAGACTATGACACAAAAAAATTCAAAAGTCAAATGGCCACTGGAACAGGACATCTAACATTATGTGAAAAAAAGTTATGCATAATTAGTTCTATGTCCTTTCTTATCCATTTTGTCTACACAAGTCTCCTTGAACACCAATATCATCGACAGGTTTCAAACATTTGCTTGGCTCCAGCGCACACACACTTGCTGACTCCAGCTCTTCACCAAGCCCTGGAAACACATCAGAAGGGCCACAGCTCTCTCATGTCCTATTTAATATGCTTGGGGACTTCTCAGAGCTCACTGTAAATTGTCCGTGGCAAATATCATCTATTTGTTAGATGTTTAGTGACCCGGTTGTATAATATTTTGTGTTTGTGCATGCACATATATGTGTATGTTCAGGTGTATGCATGTCGGTGCCGGTACACAAGAAGGCCAGAGGATAACCTTGGGTGTCATTTATCAAGAGCAGTTCACCTTGTTTATTTTGAGACAGAGTCTCTCACTGGCCTTGAACTTGCTAAGTAGGCTAAAGTGTCTGACAGGTTAGCCTCGTAACTCACCTCCCCAGTGCTGGGATTACAAATTGAACCCAGATCCTCATGCATGTAAAGCAAACTTTTTATTGACTGAGCTATCTACCCAACTCTTTGTGTGTTTACTACAAACAGACACACACCCACCCACCCCCACACACAAACACACACACACACACACACACACACACACACACAGAGTGCATTGCATTTTTTGTCTTAATAGATGAGAAAGCCAAGCTCAAAGGACAACTTGCTCAAGATTACACAACTGCCTTATGTGGGATTTGAAGCTTTGTGTTTCAGCCCATATACCTAAAATACCCAGATGAAAACTTCCCACACTGGTTTTGCTCATAGAACGGATGGAAAGAAAAGCTATCTGGTTGATTGGTTTTGGTTTCACATGAAATATCGACTAGTTTACAACCTGAATTCTTCAGTGTTCAACTCCAGGTCGATGTCAGTGCTTCCCATGTGTCAAGCACTGCCAGTGGCATGTCTTTCCCACGATTTTCCTTCCAGTTATTGCCCTAAAAGTCTCTTTGCACCAATTGCAGCAAGCATTATGTAACAATGGCATCTAAATGTAACGCCGATGTAGCTTCAGTCAGCCTACCCTCCCAGCCTGAGTCTCCAGTTCTCAGGCTGTGTTGAAAATGTCCAAGTCACCTCGGTTTGAAAACAAATCTTGTGCCTGGTTACTTAACCATGCTATGCCTCCATTTCCTCACTGGCAAAATGGACTTACTTCCCATCTCAAACATTTATGAAGATAGCAAATGTTACACAGCAAGTTGTAATATGCTATTTCCTAGTGTTTTTCCTACCGTATGTTTTATTCAGAATCAGTGTGTTTTGTAAATGAAAAGTAAATATAATGAGATTTACTTTGCTCAACCTTCACATTCCCTAAGTCAGAAAAAAAAAATCA